ATAATGCATTAAATTTAGATTTTCAATGTGTTTTCCTTATTTACCTTAAAGGGTAAAATCGACACAACAAAAAAGTAATAATTTTCAAAGGACCTACATCTAAAACCAAAAACACGAGGACTAGACCCAATGACAGCTAATCGTTTTGAACCTAGATCTAAGAACCCCTTTTATTTAATTTGGAGAAAGGAACAATGCGGGCCAAGTTGTAACACAATTATAGCTTACTAGAGTTATCCAATTCAATCCAAATTAATTGTAGGCACCAAACGTGGTATATAAATCTGACAAGTTTGACACAATGGGTCTTGTAAAATTTGAGTTGCAGACAAATTGGCCCCAACTTTGACCAAATCCTTTATTAGAATCATAGTCCAGAACAAATTGGCCCATTTAGTTATTAAAAAAATAAAAAAAGCAAAGGCTTGCACCTGTTGGGATGTCATAGTGATGATGATGAGGTCCACATCATCATTCCATTGTCCTAAAGAGAAAACTATGAGATGCGAAAAAGACACAGACAAAGGCAGAACAAAACCGCTATGTACACTGTATTGCTCCATAATAGAATAGAATTATTGGATAAGGACCAACTTAAGTTTGTGGTAGGGTAGCTATTGCATTCTGGCATGTACGATTCAATCTTGATGCTTCATTTGAAATGGTGCCTTGGGATATTTTATGTATGGTCGTAGATGAAGAAGCGTGTGATGTTTGGATCTTCCACGCATCCTCATTCATTAAACACAACGAGACTAAGTATACAGAGAAGAGCATAGAGAGACTTCTCTCTTCTTAGACACACTCAACTAGTCAACCATTTGAGCTCATCCTCAAAGAGCAATGGTTTGGATTTGGGCAACAATTGGGTTGCTTGCCCTTGTTTATATCCTGCAAGCATGGTGGAAGAACAAGAAGAAGATGTTACCTCCTGGTCCAAGAGGGTTTCCCATTTTTGGAAGCCTTCACTTGCTAGGGAAGTTCCCCGACAAGGATCTTCATCGGCTGGCCCAAAAATACGGCGACATCATGTACATGCGATTAGGCCTTATGCACACCATTGTTGTCTCATCTCCACAAGCTGCCGAGCTGTTCCTCAAAACACACGACCTTGTTTTTGCAAGTAGGCCACCACATGAAGGAGCAAAGCTCATCTCTTTTGGGCAAAGGAGCTTGGTTTTCTCTGAATATGGTGCATATTGGCGCGACACGAGGAAGATGTGCACCCTTGAGTTGCTCAGCAACCACAAAATCAACTCCTTCAAGTCCATGAGGAGAGACGCGATTGCTCTCTGTGTTGAGTCTATTCGAGCCACTGCCGATAATGGACGTGTTGCTGTTGATCTGAGTGACAATGTCTCATCTCTCAGCGTGGTCATGAGCTGCCGGATGGTGCTTGGAAAGATGTATAGGGATGAGGAGTTTGATGCGAGGGGTTTCAGGTCTGTGATCGAAGAGGTTGTCCAATTGATAGGCGCCGCT